CGCTCCAGACTTGCCAAAATTTAAAAATATTTCGTGATATAAACAAAGTGTGGTCCGAATTTAGCAAGGATGTCGTACACTTATCCAAAATATTTAAAATAAATCATTCACACAATAATATTTCTCTTTATAATTCAAATAAAAAGTAATTCATTTGAAATTTGATGAAAATCATTACGCGACTTTTCCATGCCTTTTGTGGCTTGTCTTTCAAAAAATCAAATTACCGATTTTATAAAAACTCCGACGACGTTAAATGAAGGATTTTGAATTTAATAAGAATGCAATATTGTATTTAATAAATGGAATTAACCTGGGTGCGGTAGGTTGTGACGAAGTCACTTAATTTTGCTCTCAATTAATTTAAAAATGTATATTTCAATTAATTCCCGCCTGAGGACATGTAGAAGAAATGGTCCATCTTAAAAGATAGAATAGTTTTTATTCAATATTTATTATTGTAAATTAAATGTTTATTATACGACAATAGTGTGTATTTATCGGTTAATTCTATAAATTCCTAATAGATGGCGATTTAGCATCTAAGTTGCACAGGTATCCGGCAGACATTAATGTTACACTACACTCTGCAGTGGCGTGCGGCCGTGATAGGAAACGTACAAAAATGAAAAGACATGCAATGTCACCACCACACTATAGCGTGCTGCGGCCGTTATAAGTAAAGTAAAAGAAGATGAAATAGTTCCGAAATGTCTGTGGACCATATTATAAATGGTTACAAAATTTTTATATATATAAAGATATTTTGTGAGTAAGTCACTGATTACAAACTATAATTTATTATAAGATGAATAAAATGTAAATTCAGAAAGTATATGTTGGTTTGTGCTTAATTTCAACATTTCGATACTTTACCTATTACTTTTAAATTTTTGCGAAACGATTTATTTTCAATCTCATATGAATGAATCTATTTTAAATTTTTTTAGAAAATATTAATTTGATTGTACCAAAGAATTAGTAAAAAATTGATTCAATGTATTATAATTACTGAGCCACAGCAACGCGTGGCTGGGTCAGCTAGTTATTAATTATTTTTCTATTTACAATTAGTTTGAGACACCCGTTCGACAAGTGAAAATTTTTATTCATGCCCAGCATTTTTCATTTCATCCCTTAGTGGGAAACCGTTGGCAATTTTTTATTTGAGGCTGGATATAGGCTAGTTTCTGAGTGCTCTCATTTTCGACGACTATATCCGATCTCTCTTAGGAAGCGCCCAGTTAACATTGTGAGAGGTTCAACCCGTTTTCAATTTTTTTTATTTTATTACTTTTGGGGAAAATCCGGCCCGTTATTTTCTTTTTCGGAGATTCGATCCGTCCCCGGGTTAAGAGTGATTTCTGGCGTTATCTAATTTCCCAAAAAGACGTCTAAATTAATTTTCGCGCCTCACTTCATGTAAGTTTCTTTTCTTTTATTTATTCATTCAGTTGTATTTGAATCATTCCGTTCCCCGTCCACAACTAATTATTGGACGAAGCCCGACGTTTTCTGTAAAATTAATTTACACACCGTCTTGATCGACTTTGGGCAAATATCAAAATAATATTTTCTATCACCGTCGCCTTCGCTGTCCAAACACCGCGTAAATTCCTATCATTCTCACTCGACGAAAATTGCCACTGCCGATCGCTCGAGAACAAGATACAAGGGGGTTCCGAAAACTTTATTCCATTATATAGTAGGTTTTCCTTTTCTGAACTTACATTGTAGGTGGGTTAACGGTGGTAATAGTAAACTTTATTTTCCGTATACAGGGAGTTCCATAATTCCCAGACCGCTTAGCCTCCTGTGCTCGCGAACCGTAAATAATTCCCAATATTTAAATAGTTTTCAAATGTAATAATATAATTTTTAATAAATTTTCCGGATACAGGGAGTTTCATAATTCCCGGACCGCTTAGCCTCCTGTGCTAGCGAACCGTAAATATTTCCCAATATTTAAATAGTTTTCAATTGTAATAATTTATTTTTAATAAATTTTCCGAATACAGGGATCCGTTTAATATTTAATTAGTTTTCAAGCGTAATAATTTATTTTTAATAAATTTTCCGAATACTGGGAACCGTTAATATTTAATTAGTTTTCAAGAAAAAAACACCATTGTATTTTTTTGTAAATATATATTTTATTACCTATTCCTGCGTTTCTTAACCGTTCTCTTTCAGGGTACCGTAGGGTACGAGGTGTAAAGGAGATAAGTGTTTTATTTTTATTTATTCTAGTATAGTGGCTATCTAGCAGTGACCGCCTGGAATTATTTTAACTCCACTGAGTTTACCTTAAGTACACTCAGGTGTACTACAGAGTCGCAGAGCAAACTGCGATACCAAAACTGGCGCCTGAGCAACCCCTATTCGGGAATCACCATCATAGCGCCACACAGACTCGCTGATTCACTGTAGGTGAACCAGAAGCCTGTCACAAGGTTACACTACTCGAGTTGTACAGTATATTTTTTTCTACGACCCACTAACGAAAATTTAAAAATAGAAAAATATTTTAAGTTATTAAGACAAAATAACTAATTTTAAAATAATTTATGACTTTTAATAAAGTTTAAAATAAAATAAAAAAAAAATTAATTTAAAAGTCTCCAGCCGAGGCTCGAACTTGAGTTTCTCGCGTGGAAGTCAGATACCCTCACCACTCATCCACCGACATACAGGGTGTTTCCGAACTTGGCGTCCAAATTTGTAGGAGTGGTAGTTCGCATAATTTGAGACCGATTCGCAGATTTCATTTTTCCAAAATATTTAAAATAAAAATATTTAAAAATTAATTAAAAAATTTAAACAGGTACGGTCTTGCACAGCGATGAGTAACCAATCAGGCGACTCACACACAAGGACAACCCTTTTTTTTATAAAAGTTTTTCAGGGAATACAGACAGAAGTAAAATCAGACAAAAACCTAACAAAATTCAATTACCGCTCTAGCTAATAAACCTAAATTGGCATATTATGTTTATTTTAACAAGGGGATGCTACTCAAATATCATAATACTAACATATAATTTGGTTACATAGGCCCATTCATCGGTCATGTCATGACTTCGCCAGAGGTCACAACAGGAGCGGAACACTTCCAGTCTTTCGCTTGAAGATATCCATCTGTGACATTTTGTAATTATTATTATATGAATTAAATTATGTTGTATATATGTAAATAAAGACTTTTTGAATACAAATACGATCAGGCGACTATTGCGCTACGCGCTCAGGGTAGGACCCGCTCTTTGATTTTTTTTATAATGGCTCTATTTTGTTTATTTTTTTATAAAAATGAAATCTGCCAATCGCTCTCAAATTATGCGAACTACCACCCCTACAAATTTGGACGCAAAGTTCGGAAACACCCTGCATTTGGAAAAATTGTTTAATACTCGTAATTGAATTGACTTCATAGAGTTTTATTAAAATTAACAAATTATTTATAATTATAATATAAATAAAAATAGAAATGCTATTATTTATCGATTCTACACAAAAATAAGTCATTTTAATATATACTTAAGTTCATAACTAAAAAATATACTCTGACAATTACTTTAACAGAATTGTCACTTATTTAAAATTTTAAAAATAATAGTCGTCGAGTGACCAAAATATGAACTGTGATTGGTGGATTTCATTTTTTTGCAGTGTTATCACTACATCGAATGGGTATAAAATATATTCGTTCAGTTAATGGCAATAGTATACTTTTTCGTTTTGTAGTCTGTGCGTGTAGAAAAAATAGTAGTTTGTGAAACAAGAGTGGATATGATGGGCATATCATACGAAGACAAAGTTTGGGCACGACACGGTAGGTGGAGTGCTCAAGCGTCTAAGTACCATATAGACAATCCAATCGAATTGTGCAGTATATTTTTTCTACGACGCACTAACGAAAATCTACAAATTTAAAAAAATATTTTAGGTTATTAAGACAAAATAACTCATTTTAAAATAATTTATGAATTTTACTGATTTTTAAAATAAAATAAACATGAAAAAAAAAATGGTGCGTATTCGAGAAATTTGACAAAATGTGCAAAATTCTGATTTTTAGGAAAATTGTTAAACTAAAAGTTGTTTGCGATATCGACCTCTATAATTTTTGTTTTTTAAATGATTTTTCTAAAATGGACCGTAATGGAAAAATTGGAGGAAAAGTGCTAAATTTAAATTTTTCAGTATTTTCGTTTTCAATGAATATCCATAGAAAAATGTTTATCCTCTAAACATTTATAGAGGTGCTGCAATAGGTTGCCTATAATAACTAGATAGAAAAGTCATGTGTTGGACACATCAGATTTTTTTATATACAGGGTGGCTCACGCTCAACGGGACGGAGCTTTATGGGAAAACGACCAAAGATATAAAAAATTCGTTTGGGAGGAATACGTAGGTTACAGACGGCTATAATTTAAAATTTGTTAGATGTATACAGGATGTCCCACATAAGAAAAAAAAAGTTCATTAAAAATTATTCAAACAAGAGTAAACAATTAATTTCTGGGAGACTTTTTTTCCTTAAAAATTCAAATAAATCGAAAACTAATAATAATAGTAATAGGGAACCTTTAGTTAACTGACATTATTTTTGATGTAGTTTTTAATTCTAAAATAAAAAACAGGGTGTTCCATTAAAAATAATATAACTTTGTATATTTTCTCTTATGTGGGACATCCTGTATACATCTAACAAATTTTAAATTGTAGCTGTCTGTAACCTACGTATTCCTCCCAAACGAATTTTTTATATCTTTGGTCGTTTTCCCATAAAGCTCCGTCCCGTTGAGCGTGAGCCACCCTGTATATTCAATGCCAACGAAAATATTGAAAAATTAAAAGTTTACACTTTTCCCCATAATTACATGTTTTTTTTTGATGAACGGAGCGTTTTTTAACGGTATGCCGATAGGGTTAAACCATAATCCAAACTCACATGCGCGTTTTATGGTGTTAGAGGTAAGAAAAATTATTAAATTCTGCAGAAAAATAATTTATTGTGTATACTTCAATTTAGAACAATAAGAATATACAGAACAACTAAGCTACTAATAAAAAAGAACAAACTTAAACATCACAACTAACATTTAAACCTAAGCCTAAACATAAAGTGATGGAAACATAATCTATCACATGATTTATTATATAGATGCCTATCTAAAATAGTAACTGTAAAAGTTAACATCAAAAACGTGTATTATATTATTTTAGATTAAACAGCATTGGTATTGAATAGAGAATTTTATTTTATGTAAACGTAAAAATATTTAACTGGATTACAATATTAGAAAAGATTATAATAAAAAAATAACTTTGAAAAATGTAAAAAAGGTTAAATATAAAAACTTGGAAAATTAAAAAATGTTGTATTTGTATTTGAAGTGCATCTTCAGCAAATATTTAACATTCACCTGAGCCACGTCGTATACGATATATCTGAAAAAAATGTTAAGGAAAAGACGTCATAATAAAAAATATAATATCTCAAAATCGATATTTTTTGTATACGCAAGTCACTGTTTTTTCACTATTTCCTGAAATCTAAAAAAAAATATTATGAACTGCAGCCTCCAAACTTACGTCATAAGGTATAAAACCTTTGACTGCCAGATTTGATTTGGATCGAAAAAAAATAATTTAAAATTTACGGGTTTTTGGAAAAAAAAGTCAAATATTTACATTATAAGATTATAATGTATAAGAATAAAACGAAAGTGATTGTGTGTGGCACTGAATTCCTAAGTTGGCACTCATTAAAAAAATTGTCATCCAACTAAATTTATAAACATTTTTGTCTGTCCAGTTTACAAAGTGTTTCCTAACAATTTTTTCCATGTAGATTTGCAGTGATAAAAAAATGTCGTCCAGCTAAATTTGTAATGTAGATAATAATAATAATAATAATAATGTTCGTCATTGTTACTCAAACAATTTTTGTCAATTTAGATTTTTAATGAAATAAATCATTTTCGTCCATTTATATTTATAATTCTTTGAAAAATGGCTCCCAAATTTATCAGCTATAAATTTTTATATCAATATAGATTCACGTTTGAAATATTTTCGTTCTAATAGATTTACACCTTGTTAAATACATTTTTGTCTATCTAGATTAACAATTTATTTTAACAATTTTTGTCCATGTAGGTTTCCAAACTGGCAAATAATTTTCGTCGAACTAGATTTGTAAAGTAATGAATACTTTTTGTCCATCTAAATTGTGAATTAAAACATTTTTGCTTATCTACAGTTGTAATCATGATTTGTAATGAAATAAATAATTTTCGTCCGTCTAGATTTGTAATTTTTTTAAAATATTGTGCTCAAAACTATCTTCTATAGATTTGTATGTCAATATATATTTGCATTTTAAATAATTTCATCCAATTACATTGGCATTTTTTAAATAATTTTGGTCCATATAGTTTTTCATAGTGTTAATTTATGTACATGTAGAATTGCAAGGTGGTAAATAATTTTCGTGCATCTAGGTTTTAAAGTAGAGTAATTTTTGTCCATCTACATTGTTACTTAAACAATTTTGCCAAACTAGATTTGTAATAAAATACATACTTTTCGTTCTACTAGATTTGTAATGAAATAAAATAATTTTGGTCCATCTAGATTTGTAGTTATTTTAAAACAAGTCCTATTTATCAGCTATAGATTTTATGTCAATATAAATTCGCGTTTTAAATAATTTCGTCCCGCTAGATTAGAATTTTTAAATAATTTTCGTTCATCTAGATTCGCAAATACCCTACCAATTTTTGTCCATGTAGATTTGAAAAGCGATAAATAGTTCGTCTAGCTAGATTGGCATTCACAAAATAATTTTAAGTCCATCTAGATTTGCAAAATGTTAAATAATTATTGTCCTAAATTAACAGTGTTAATTAAACAATTTTTGTCCATGTACATTTGCAAACCGATAAATAATTTTCGACCAACTAGATTTGAAAAAATGAGTAATTTTCGTCCATCTACATTATTTAAAAAATGTTAGCTCCTATAGATTTGTGATGAACGAAATAATTCTCATTTGTCCAGAATTGTTAGTCTTTAGTAAAAATGGTCCTCAAATGTATCAGCTACAGATTTATATGTACATCTATATTTGTAATTAAATAAATCCTTTTCGTCCGTCTAGATTTGTAAATTTTAAAAAATGATTCCAAATCAGATTGGCATTCATTAAATAATTTTCGTTCACCTAGATTTGTAATAAATAATTTTCTTTCTTCTAGATTTGTAATTCTTTAAAAAATGGCCCCCAAAAGTTTTAATATCAATATAGACATGCGTTTTAAATAATTTCGTCTAGCTAGATTGGCATCAATTAAATATTATTCGTCAATCTAGATTTGCTAATTGTTGAATATATTTTTGTACATCTAAATTTAAAAGTAGTTACTTAAACAATTTTTGTCCAAGTAGATTTGCAAATTGATAAATTCTTTTCGTCCTTCTAGCTTTGTAAAGTAATGAATAATTTTTCGACCATTTACATTAATACTTAAACAATTTTTAACCATCTAGATTTGCAATGAAATACTTAATTTTTGTCCGTGTATATTTCTAATTATTTTAAAATTGTACCTCAAATTTATCTGCTATATATTTTTGTCAATCTAGATTCGTGTTTTAAATAATTTAGACCAGCTGGATTGGCATTCATTAAATAATTTTCGCCCACCTAGATTTTCAAACTGTTAAATACATTTTATCCATCTAGATTTACAATATGTTACTTTTCTATGTTACAATTTTTGTCATTGTAGATTTGCAAAGTAATAAATAATTTTCGCCCATCTAAATTTGTGAAATAATAATCAATTTTCGTCCATCTACAATGTTTGCCCAGTTAGATTTATAATGAAATAATTCATTTTATTCCGTCTAGACTTGCAATTCTTTAAAAAATGGTTCAAATAGTATGAGCTATAGATTATTCATTAAATAATTTTCGTTCATCTAGATTTACAAACTTTTAAAAACATGTTCGTCTATCTAGATTTGTAGTTTTTTTTTTTTTTCGATTTATGGCCTAGGTGTATATACCTAATATGCCAGTCTCAAATGTGTGTTTAAATTCTGTGTAGGCTTTGTTACTGTTTCCCAGCGCCACTTCTGGAACAGCACTGTTAATTAGAACCCAACAGTGAATGGTCGAGTGGGGAATCCTACCAAGGCATCAGAATTAATTTTAAATAAATTAAATAAAAAATTTCCGGCCAACGGTGGGATTCGAACCTGGGACCCTTGGATTCACAGGCAGAGACTCTACCACTGAGCCACCCACCCCTTGTAAAGAGTTACTTAAGCAATTTTTGTCCAACTAGATTTGGAAAAACTAAATAGAATATTGATATGCATTGTGATAAATAATTTTAGGCCATCTAGATTTTCAAAGTATTAAAAATTTTTGGCCATTTAAATTTGCAATATTATTGAGAGATCAAACGAACTTACCTGAGGTGAAGTTCGATCTCAATTATATGAAACGCCTTGTTCGAGATGATCATAGGCAGTACCCGTCTTTCCCCGCTTTGTGGCCACGTATTTTAAAGTCTAAATTAATACCTTCAAAAGAATTTAGAAAGTTCCAAAATAACAACTGGTCGTGCCAGTCCTTCCCACGTCTGCTCCCGTTCCATGTAGCTCGGATACACTCTTACGTCATTCTTTTAAAGCGGTGTAGAGAAGGATCTTGGATATAGGTGTGTGGATCGGTTGGATCATGTCGAACAAGGCGTTTAATATAATTGGGATCGAACTTCACTTCAGGTAAGTTCGTTTGATCTTTCAATTATATTCCAAGCCTTGTTCTCAATGATCAGAGATAGATGTTTAAAGAAAAGATTAAACACAATTACCGAGAACATTTTTATTTTAAACCTAACGATTGAAACATTATTTGAAATGTTTGGATATATGCTAAGTACCCTACTAGCATTATTTTATTGCAATAACAAACTTAATTCTCACGAATTTAAGTACAATGTAACTTATAACTCAAAATAGATACATACAACGAACATTATAAAATCGAAATTGCAAAGGCAAAATTGTGTTGATGGTGATTTATAACATATATAAAAAAATATTTTATAGAAATTGTTAAATAAATGTTACCTATTAGTTTTTTTTTGTTTTTGTCCATCTGGTGTATCTTTACCTGTGTCAATACTAACTACCAATTTATTAGCAGCATATGTAGAGGCATGACGTAAAGTGCAAATTAAATACTGCGGTATCTACTCCATTATGTGGGCTTAATTTTACCCAACGGCTAATATATTGCAGGACGTTGTAGCTTTTTATATGTTTGTATTTATGCATTTATTATACCCGAATGTTCCTAGCTGTTCTTTCTAAATAGAACCCCAAAACTTTAGATACACATAAAAGGTGATTTTTGAATCAATGATAAAGTATTCCAAAAGATTATAGGCAATAATTATATGGCCAAATTCCATCAATTTACAGTTAGGCCATTCATAACTAAAACTTCTCATACATTTTAAAACTCTTTTTACAGTAAGTTATGTTCCACCATCCGGGAGCAGAGGTATTAAGGACTGGCACGACCAGTTGTTATTTTGGATATTTCTAAATACTTTTAAGGGTATTAAGACTTTAAAATACGTGGCCACAAAGCGGGGAAAGGGTGGTACTACCTACGATCATTGAGAACAAGGCGTGGAATATAATAAATAATGTCCGCCCATCTAGATTTGCAAAATAATAAATAATTTTCGAACATATAGATTTGCCAAGTGTGTCTTAAACAATTTTTGTCCAACTAGATTTCAAAAGTTTTAAATTATTTTTGTTCATCTATATTGGGAATGTAATTATTATTAATTACTTTTCGTATATCTAGATTTTGGTCACTATAATCCAATCTGTTCAGTATAAAAGACTGCATAATATTGTTCAGTTCAGTTATTCAGATAATTAAATTACAGTGCTTGTAGAAAAAACATTTAAAAATCGGAAAATTAATCAATATATAAAATGTATTCATAAAGAGATCAAATTCTGGAAAAAAATAAATTCCAATACCTATACATAAAAAAATAAAATATTTTATTTGAAATAAAGGATACTCGTTATACAGCAAAGTCGCGTTTACTGCAGCCGTATTAGGAACCCCTTTACCGCACGGTACCTCCACATCTTCAATTTTCTTAACATGCGATGGATCCGGATGGGTCCTACCCAAACCTTTGCAACTATGCGTTCCTTTCGGCAATTTCGTGATGTTTTCTGCGTGGAACCTGTCATACGTCTGAAAAAAAAAAACAAAAATGGTTTATGTGACGTCACAGTAACGCGTCTGTCAAATAAATTACGCTTTTATTATTAAGAAGTTTATGGTAGAATGCTCCACGTTGGGCGCCAAAAGTGATATGTAACTCTATCTCTTGTGTGTTACTGCCTAACTATCTAGACTCACTAGCGCAGCGGGACTTGGTTCTGAACCACTCTTCAATACTACTATTAACAAAATACCGCGATCCTATACAAATTAAGTTTCTCTCCTTTTAACATTTTCAACATCGATAAATATAGTATTTTATTTTGTCGATTAGAGGTGGGAACAACTAATACGAATTATAACAATATAAAATAAGAAACATTTATGGTAGAACTGAAACAGACAAATTATACAAACAACTGTACTCACATTTCCTAGAGCTACATCACACAGCAACATCAACCCCTTGGGATTCACGTTATTCGTACAACAATAGTTGGCCGACTTAGACACCATGTCGGCGAAGTAGATACCTTTACCGAACATGTAACCGGTAACGGGAGCCTCCGGCGGAGCGATACGAAGACCTTGAGACAGAATACCGGCGTAATTGGTCACCCTGGAACCGTGCCACAACAATTTGCGATTGTGCAACTTCTTGAACGGCTTGAATCTCTTGTCTTCGCCTTGACGTTTTACAGTGTATATTTCATCGACTACCAATTCGAATTGACTGTGAGTAGCCGCGTGGGTGTTCTGGACGTATTCCTTGATGATGGCAAACTCTTCGGATTCTCGTGGCAACACACCTAGTTCTGTGTTCAACTGTTTGTAGTAGCTGTCGACTGTGTGTTCCGAGCCCGATGATTTCATTAGGTTGTAGGCTATTTCCAGTTCCATTAAGCTGTCTAACATCTCTAATTTTTGCTACGAGAAATAAACATTTAAAATAAAATAAATACTAATGCACCTTAATATAAATACTTTAATAACTTCTGGATCATTCAATATTGGAGGATCTTCAATACCAAAAGAGTGAGGAATGAAAGTATAAAACCTATTGGAAGCGTCAATATATCGAGATCTTTCAGTACTGTGTTCGTTTATTAGTATCTGAAGCTCGTTTAAAACTCCAAAAGCCATTTGTATTTGCTTCTTGCTGAGCTTTCCTAAAAACCAAAATTTTTATCGAATCACTCCAATAGTGTCGCTAAAAGATATGTACAAAAATTAAAGTTTCTACCTAGAGGCATTTTTTCGGTATCCAATTCGAACTCCAACATGAGTTTCTTCATGGAATTGACATCGAAAATCATCCGGATGAGATTCTGAATGGGTTCTGGCAACGAAGATTCCGATTCGACAATGTCCAAGTTTTGTTTTTCCTCTTCACCGTAATCTACGTCGATGGGATACATCAGACCCGGTATTTTGTGGAAATTATGTCTCAATTCCCACATGTTTCCGGTTTTTTCTTCATACAAGGCTTCAAACTCGGATTTAGCTAGGTGAAGCGATTTTTTTGATTCAGTTTTGTTCCCTATAAAAAATATGTTTACCATGAAGAACTATAGTATATTATTTAACGAGCGGTAATGGAGGTCATAACTCACGCAGATGAAGTTTGCAGCACGAGCCGCAGGGGAGTGCTGTAATTCATCAAGAGAGTTAAGACCATTACCGCAAGTTGAATACTATACTTTATCTACGACTATAAATACTAAGATACAAGTATCGAGAAAGAATTATATAATTGACTAGATGATAAAAACGTTTGAATCTTTGTAAAAGCTATTACCTTTGTCGCCAGATATTTCTCATCAGGAGCTTTATTTATGAAATTATTAAGTTGTTCTGGCGTAAGTATTTTTGCCTTTTTAGCTATATGTTTTTCTGATTGACGTTTAAGAAACGCACGTAATTTTGAATAATTCTCTATATTAATTCCATTATTTATGTTGAGTGTGCTTCTTAGCAAGGAGTAGAAAGTCCATAGAGACGATGCTTTATATTTATTGCTAAGTTCATTAAAATATGCCAAAGGTACATTTTATGTAAACGAGTTACACCAATCTTGAAAATTTTAGTATACACCTTTATACTTGTTTTTTTGATTTTTTTGGTAATAAATTCTGTGTTGCATTATTAGCTATCTCTCTTATTTCTGGAGGTGTACATAATAACTCATCTTCACTATCTAAATTCATCTTTTTTTAGCACTATTATTAAAAATTGATTTGAAAACGTCAAAATTATCTTGTTAAAATATCAAATGACATTACTCCCCTCAATGTAATAATTGACTGTTCCGCCTACTGAAAGGCGTTGGCAATTTAATAATTTTAAAATCTCTTTCCAGTTGTTAAAAAATCTTTCTAACATTTTACGCCAATGGAACATTTATCGACTTTAAAATTTCCAAGAATTTACTGCGCACACTATTTATATACCGAATTATCGTAGGAGCCCAGCGTGAGTTATAATAACTCACTATTAAAACTCACGCTATTTGTTTATTGATACTATTAATTGCTCAAAAGCAGTTGAATAATTAATATATAAATTAATAGGAGTAGATAAAATATTTAAATTGTCATGATGAAGTAGTAATTATGTAGCTAATTGTCTTAATAAAGGGAAATGGAGGTACTTTGACTTAAAATATGACAATCTGATAAAACATGATCGAGGAAACAAATACCAATTTTAACCTCGTGAAGGAAAAAGATATTGTTGGAAATACATCCAACAATATTTCATTAAGACATAAGGCGATCAATCAATTAATAACAACAATTCTTTAATAATAATTTAATTATTAGTAGAGATCATCCAAACAGAATAAACAGTTTACGTTGGTTAGGACATGTAGGGGGAATAAAAGAATCATTGACAAGAGGCGAAGGAACCAACAGAAGAAGTGGATAGAGGCGTGTAAAGAGGAACTTAAGGAAATTAGCAATTTCTAATTGGAAAGAAACTGTGATGGGCGATAATAAGAAAAAAATGAAAACATGGGTCTTTAAGGCATTTTGCGATGTATTATATAATAAATACTCACCCCCAATAGTGGTACCGATCCTACCCCAAGATCTAAACAGCCAATACGAATTGCGACTGTCAGATTCGAGCAGCTGCAGCTTATAATAACTGTTCCTTCCGGATTGGATATCGGTCAAGCCTAACACCACCGTGTACTTATCGTCGCCGTCTTGATAGACATGCGCGGAGTGTTCCAGTCCGGAATCTGGATCGACCGCTATGCCGCCCTTCAATTTCAACTTTATCTTATTCGGCACAGATTTTGTGTAAATGCTGCGCGATTTGGACTTCTGGCTGACTGACGGTTCTGCTGGCAGACGAGTCGTCGGCTAAAACGCGACAAATGCAATAGAATTGTGCAAGCTTAATAATAGTCCAGTCGATATAGGACATTTGTATCAAACATACGTTTTTTTTTGGCGCCTTGAAAAATAGTTTTTCGAAAATATCTCAAAAACCGCTGATCCTTAGTAAAAGAGCTAAAGACCTTTTTAGTAAGACATTTTGATTGGAATAATTTTTCTGTAAAATTCATATTTTAAAAGTTATTACGGCGCTTTTTTTTTAGATTTTACTAAATATCTAGTTAGCGGTTATTCATATTTAAAGATACTTATTTCTGTACAATATAAAATTTTCTACAAACCACGTACAAAATGTTTTTTTTCAAAAGTTTAAATTTGGAGATGGAAAATAAATTAAAAAAATTGAAGCGTATAGCCCAGTAAAACTTATTAAAAACATGATTGCGTTTGCAAAATTTATTTTAAAATGTTGAGAAATTTTGATAAAAAAAAGGGAAAATATTTGATTGTAACCCAAAAAAAATGCAGTTCAAATTTTAAGGTCCAAAGTACAACAAAAATTGATCAAAAGAATTTTGCGAAAAAATCATTAGATTGAAAATATATTTTAGTTCAACATAGTTCTGATAAACAAGGTAAAACAGTCTTTATTATATCCCAAGCAATAAAACGTCCAGGACCTATAAACCTACAAATTAGTATTTTGGTCTAATTCGATGCTAACGATCTCTTTTCCGTACTATCTGGTTTGCAAAAATTGATTTTCTGAGAAGGCTGTCTGAAATGAAAAATTCATGTCCCCTCTTCATCTAGCGGATATTTGTAACAAAAAAACCAGGAGAATACTACCCTAGCGTTTATAGTTTACCATTTAAGGTGTCTTGAAGAGAGGCATGTCATGTTGTTGAAAGATAGATCTCATTTTTCATTTCGCGGGCGCAATGAGCCGAACGAATGGTCATATTCATGAAATAATTTTCGTCCATTTAAATTTGCAAACTGTTAAATACATTTTTGTCCATCTAGATTTACAATCTGTTACTTAAACAGTTAAGTATAATTTATAACCACCGTAACGTAACTTAACGCCGTATAAACTTAACCTAAGATATAAAAATAAAGTCTATTTATAAGAGTTGAGCATGCGGGTTGATTTCAGAGATTATCAAATTAATGACAACTTTATGAAATAAACAAGTGTAATCTATGTACTTAACCTCTAAATAAAACTTATAAATTATGATTTTGCTATATAGAAAGAATATATTAACTACTTTAAAAGCAATAATATAAAAAATATAATAAAACAGAATAGTTTACCGAAGATGTTGATTGTTTTTGAGCAATAATGAGAAATTAATCTTTCCTAGCAAACTAGTTTTGTGTCTTATTTCAGTTCTAGACTTGATGTTTATAGGTATATGCAGCAATACTCATATCTCATAAATAGTTTATCCCAATAACATAAACACAAATCATTCATGATAAAAAGGAGAATGATAGTTTACAAATGGTATTTGTCTATTAATTTATAAAAAAAAAAATAAAAAGAATAATTGACAGTTATCACATGCTAAAGCAGAATTATCTCATTGGCTAACCGTAAGGTCTTAAGTTAAGTTGTTAAGTTAAAAGTTGGTGAACTTTCTACGGTACGTTAAGTTCTTAAGTTACGTTACGAACATTATAAATAATTATACGTAAATTCAATATTTCAACTTCTTACGTTAAGTTCTTAAGTTACGTTACGGCGGTTATAAATTAAGCTTTAGATATGTTAGATATGTAAACATTTTCGTCCATCTACAATATTACTTAAAAATTATTGCCTCTAGATTTCTAATGAAATAAATAATTTTCGTCCGTCAAGATTGTAATTATTTAAAAAATGGTTCAATATGTATCAGCTATAGATTGACATTTATTAAACAATTTTCGTCCATCTAGATTTGCAAACTTTTAAATACATTTTTGTTCATATAGATTTGCATATCACTAAATAATTTGTGTCCACCTAGATTCGCAATATATTAAATAATTTTCGTAAATCTTTATTTGCAAAATAATAAATACTTTTCGTCCATCTAGATTTGTAAAATAATAAATAGATTTCGTCCATATTATCAGATATACATTTTTGTCTATAGATTTGGTGTTAAATACATCTAGATTTGTAAAGGGTCCCGTAAAAAGGCGCATTCGCATTATGCCGATCGGCTTTACCGATCGGCAAAGCCGATCAGCAAAGGCCGTATGAACACCACGTCCTTACTGTAGTTGTAGAGTGTACGCGAAACGAAGCTTGTGAAAAAATGAGCGAAGTCGAAGATGACGAATTGCTGGCAATTGCAGCTACAATTATAGTTGATGCTCTATTCCCAAAACGTCGAAAGAAAAGATTTTGGATTCGTCGTCGAAGTAGATATAGTGGCAGTCATTTGATTAAAGATTTAATATTGGATGACGTTGATGATTTAAAATTGGAGTATAGGTGCGACGCAGGATTTAGAAACTTTTTCCGGATGACAAATAGAGTCTTTGAATTTTTGTTGACCAACAATGGGCCAAAGATCAGCAAAAAAACACAGCATTTAGATCAGCCATTCCTGCTTCTGAACATTTAGCTGTACCATTAAGATTTTTCGCTAGTAAGTGGAGATTCGTACTATTCTCTTATGTATACATTCAAGATATCTAAGTAGACTATTTCAGAAACTGTTCCTAAATTGTGTGACGCACTAATCGAAACACTTCAAGAATACATTAAGGTAAGTGAAATATACAAAATTAAGGGATAACGTCTTTGGTTTTATTATGAAAAAAGTAAACAAAGATATATACTCGTGAGGAGTTATTGAGATTAGGAGGCATGGCACTGGCGAACACGGTTGAAATTTCGGAAAACCAAAATGTGATATTTATCAATATAAACTTTAAAAACGGTAAATATGTTTGTGATTGATTTCTTACTTTTGGCCAGCTAGATTGCTCAAATGCCTCACGGTACATTAATATAATTTAAATTGTTGATTTTTTACGTTGTCCTAACCTCAATACCTCTTTGCAAGTAAATTATCTATCGAACAAATAATTATCTCGTAATCCATGCCAGCCCCAGAGCCCTCTTCAACCTCTCTTTGCTGTGATTGTGACGAACATAACCGTTCCTCCCCATATGAGTGTTCAGATGGCACATTTGGAGTTGTTGAATATATATTTCTCGAACAGTTGGCTGAAACCGGTATAGGCGGTGACGGCGAGCAGTATGATGGGAACTGAGGCGGGATATTTAGTGGAACATTCGTGTTCAATATTGCAGTCGGATTGTGATGAGAAAGTGGAGGTGGTGGATTCTCAAAATGTCCCACTTCTGCTTCAAATAAAATATTGTTTATTGCATTCTGAACAGCAAATTTTGCGTACGGTGAAGAATAATTTCCTCATTTTCATGGCCACCTGCTCACCAAATGCTGAGAACTCATCCCGATCCTGCATCTTCCTCGACTGTATCGATTTCATTAGGTTGTTTTCATTTACAACAGGCAAATTGTGTTGACGTCCCCTGGATGTATGCCCCTTGGGTGAGGACTGTAAAGGGCGATTTGTGACAACTTGTTCTTCCCTTGGCTCTTTATTTTCAATATCGACCGCGCCATTATCCTGAAAACAATAACTTTGTTACAGATACCAGAATCAGCGGAAGATTGGAAACTAATAGCTAAACAGTATGAAGATAAATGGAATTTTCCACATTGTTTAGGTTCCTATTAATTCTGGCTCAAAATTCTATGACAAATATTTTTTTGGTATCGCCTTGTTTGCCGTCGTAGATGCAAATTATAATTTTATTTACGCTAACGTGGGTTGTCGAGGACGCATATCGGATGGTGGTGTGTTTAATGACACAACTTTCAAGAAACATCTAGAAGATAACACAATATCCATTCCTCCACCAAATGCACTGTCAGGATAGCAGCATAGCCCCCCTGGAGCCGCCCTTGAACTTAAGTATATCAAATGAGATTGATTGAACTTACCTCAATATCCGTAGTTCCTCTGGGTTTATTTCTGTCGCGTAAAAACAGTAAATTTTTGAAGGCGAACCATTTGCTTCTATATTGTTCGTCACGCCCGCTTCCACTTTTATTAGTGTCTTTTTCCTTTTTCACCTCTCGTGCAAAATGACTAAGCAGGTATCTTATTTTTTATCTACCTCTTCTTTGCTCACTCCAAATGAAACTGCAATGTCCAACAGAGCGTCGTGCCATTTGTTTTTATTTTTATATTCTTTTAATTAACAGTTCCACAATATTTCCCTTTCACGGTAAAGTTCTATTAACCTTAAAACATTTTCGTCATTCCACTTCATTTTCAAACTACACACGTACCTATTCACCTTTACAACAAACTGCCATGCGTTGATGCCGGTTTCAATTGCCGTCCACACAACAAAATGCCGATCGGCTTCCTTTGACCCAGACCGCCAAGAATCGGATACATAATCCCTAGCCGCGCGGCTTTGGAATCGTGCCGAACAATACGTACATACTTGTAATGCGAAACTGATCGGCAAAGCCTATCTAGATTTGAAAAGTAATAAATAATTTTCGTACATATAGATTCTCAAAGTCTATATTGCGAGTGTAATTATTGATAACTTTTCGTCTATCTAGATTTCGTCTGGTTTTGGAAGTAATAAATAATTTTCGTACATATAGATTTTCTAAATGGTACTTAAACAATTTTCGTCCACCTAGATTCTCAAAGTTTTAAATTAATTTTGTCCATGTATGCTGAGAGTATAATTATTAATAACTTTTCGTCTATCTAGATTTCGTCTGGTTTGGGTCACTAAAATCCAATCAATTCGGTATACAAGACTGGATAATATTTCTTGTTTAGTTATTCAGATAAATAAATTACAATGCACGTAGGACTAGTCTGAAATGAAAAATTCTTGTCCTCTCTTCATCTATATTATATTTTTATTTATTTACGGAAAATCACCTTTTATAAAATAATTTTTATCAGTAGATATTTTAAACCTAACCTACAGTATCACACAAAAAAGAAAAAAAAATCTTAAATATCACAAAAAACTTAGAAACTAAAGCTAACTCGATAAGTACTCCCTCAGCTGATTTTTAAACCTAAACCGACTAACTCCCAAAAGATCAGTGTGTCTGTTCATTTTATTTCCTTGGCTTTGAAATCTGGTTAAAGGACTGTTGAATCCGTAGTTCGTATGATGGAAGCTAATTGAAAATAATGGTTTCTCTCTAATATTTATGTTGTTTAATCTAAAGTTTATTAGCTCCAATATATCCGGACAAGATATATTCCCTTCCAGGAGGTTATAAAGAAATAAAAGCTCATTACTAATTAACGTTTTCTCAACTGACAATAAGTTTAAATGGTTAAGTTCCCTCTTAGAAAGATAAGGCATATGTAACCTCCACTGACAAGTTCTTAGAAACCTATTTTGAACTGCTTCTAAATTTAAAATATGAGTCCGGTAATGAGGTGACCAGACTGGTGAAGCATATAAGGGCATGCTGCGCACTAGTGTTAAGTAAAGGGTTCGGATTTATTTTTATTTATTTTCTTTTATACTTATCTTTTTATTTATTTTTGTTTAATTTTATTTTTGTTTAATTTTATTTATTTTTAATTATTTACCTATTTTTATTTAATTTTATTAACTATTTGTTATTTTTATTTAATTTTATTAACTATTTGTTATTTTTATTTAAATTTTGTTTGTTTTTTTAATTTATTTTTTATTTAATTTAATTTATTTTTATTTTATTTTTTTAGTTTTAATTATTTATTTATATTTATTTTTAATTTTCATTTATTTTTATTTATTAATTTTTTATATTTGTTTTTATTTTTATTTTTTTTTTAATATTTTTATTTAGTTCTTTTTTGTATGTTTTTATTTTTATTTAATAGAATTTTAAGTGGGGACCAAACTGTCGGGATATCGTTTTTATAAGTTCACTCATATTTTTCATGTCAGTCAAGCTAATAAGTACTTCAAAATTTATTTTACCATATAAATTCGTATAATATATTGAAAATTTCTAAATTAAAATTGTTATAACCCCAAAAAATTTTTTTTCGTAAAAGCAAATTATAATTTTCTGAGTAAATAATAAAAAGAAACTACAAAATCATTAAATTTTCAGCTCGCTATGATTTTTCTAAGTCATATGTATCTCTTCCTAATTTCTAACCACCCTAACTCTGTCAGTTTTAATAATATCAAAAAATGTCAAATATAATTTTTATGTAAAAATTTATGCTTTATAATTTTTATTCAAAACTTTTTTTTATAGCCCCCACCGTTTTTAAATAACCTTAAAAACACTTTATTTTCTTGTTTATTGACATTTGCCGGTGCCTGAAAAACAAAAATTTTTTACCTATCGTTTTCAAATACTCTAAAGTGACTTATATCAAAAATTCCTGTATTTCCTCCAAAATTTTGATATAAAGGTCTATTTGATTGGACTATAAATAAAGATAGACAAGATTTTTTTAATTCAGACGTTCAAAAAAACAAAAAAGATACCTAGATCTACAATATTTTGATGTTTTTTTTTTGTGACAAACATTTTTATGAAAAGCATTTTTGGAAAAAACTCTTTCAAAATATTGACTGAAAAAAAACTTCTGTTTGATACAATTACATTTTGGTATCAACCTATCGACCGGATTATATCGTAAATAAACTTACATCAGATCCCCAATCACAAATACTCTTCTTAATAATCAAATCGGGTATTTTTCCTGTATTAGTTTTGGCTTCATCTAAAAATTCTTCGGAGACGACGTGGATCTGCTCGTTTTCGGCTATTCTTATTCTACTGCCCATCTTATCTACGTCCTCTTGAGTAGCGATGACCGCCATAACGGTATTTTGTATTTTCGTCACCACTTTACCTCCCATGGCGACGATCCGATTTTTAAGATTTTGTTTTACTTGGGCACTGCCCAATACGACAAATTGCATGTCGTATAGAGGCGGCAGCTCCCTTTTAACGCGTGGCCTTAAAAAATTAAAATTATTACAATCACCATAATTTAGAATTCAGAATATTTGTTTTTCTCTAAACGGTATTGCATGGACTAGACAGGGTGTTATTAAAATACACGTAGATATTAAAATATATTAATATTTATGATACAATTCTGAAAAATCCAGTTATAGCCTGTTATTTTAATATAGTTGTAATTAACGTAATGTTAAAAGTATACTAACATATTGTTATATACAGAGATAACAGGAGATATTCATTGATAAAATATAATATTCGTGACGCCGACATCGGTACAACAGTTGTAGAACAGGAGCGAAGAGACATGTGGTGTGAGTTATGGGAAGGAATAAACTGAAGGATTTGACGGCGGTACAAAACATTTTTAACAATGAATAAATGTGTAAGCCGTTGTACGCCCATAATAAACGTACAAAATGCAAGCCATGTTGCCACATCTAGTACAAAATACGTGACATCCAACTTAACATTAACTAGGTTTTGGAATTTATTGAAAATTAATACATCTAATTTAGTGAAATTACATATAACTAATGATTTAAAAATTATTGGGTTCAGTTGCAATAAAATATGTGAAATATTTTAGCTTTTTAAAGATATGTAAGTAATTTTGTAAACGTAACGAGAATAATGAAATAGGCATGATAACAGCGGATATTAAACCCTACTGTATCCCTTAGAATATATATTATTCACGACAGCACGATATTTGTTTGTCGTTACATCTCCTGTTATCTCTAGTTATATAAGTCATGTTGTTTTGTGTTCTGTAAGTGAAAAGGTCAAGCACTAATTAACATATTGTATTTGCTAGAAAATATTGAGTTGTATTAAAAATTTTATCGATTCCATGATTTTTCTTATTGTTCATTTAAAAGACTATTACATTCATGTCGGTTCTTTATTTTTTTATAAATAAAAGTTATTTCTTAAAAAACTTCTTAAAGAAAAAGCATTTTTAAGACTCATCTTCGTCTAAAAGTGACTACAATAAAAGTACAACAAAATCATGAAAATCTTAAAAAATCTAATATCTTATAACATATCAGACAGTGATACCTAATAGTACTTAAACTATTATGCTTTTCATAATATTATGCTATTTATAACTGTAAGGTTATTTAAAATTTTGAAAATCTATGTCAATCAGGCGTGGATTATGAGCAAAATCTAGGTCACCTAATAATGTTATCGACCATGAATACCCGAGGCACATTGTCTGCACTTTTTATCTCGATATTCTAATCAATTGCTCAATATTATATCTTTAGGTGGGGGAATGCCAAAAACAGCTTATTAATATATTAACAATTTTACAATTGCATATACGACAATTTTAACCATTTACACAAAAAATAACAGAACACCACGACTGTAAAAAACATTAACCTTTAACCTAATGTAACCTACCAAATATACACTGCAACTACCAGTGAAGGAAACTGCCTTAAACTGAACTTACAAAAAATAATTTACCAATAAAATTTTGTCTACTACGGTTACAAAAGTTTTGGTTGATCTGGTGTCAACCTTCGGGCCTTCGATAGCTAGGGGGTGGAAAGCTTACAAAAATTCCGGAAATAGTAGACAAATTGAAGAGGCGTCAATCCAACTAAGTTTCTGTAATGGCCAAACTATGTTCTTATTTCCCCACAAACCCAGTACATAAGGAAAGAAATAAAAGACAAACCTCAAACTTTGTTCCTTTATAATGAATTTACCCAATAAATGCAATGGTTAACAATTTTTAAATTAATATGAAGGAAACTGATTTATAAATATACCCAATATGTTTGTCATCAAACAAATTCAAAATTATTGTTCGTATAAAAAAAACAATGTTTAACACTTAACCCAATAAAGTTAATGTTCAAGAACTTTACAAAAAAAGATTTATCCTGCAGCATATGATGAATTCATAATTAAATAAACTAAGTATCTAGAGAAAGCAAGAAATTAACTCTATATGTCATATGTATAAACCCAAAAATAATAACAATTCCATCAATAGATGGCACGATAAGTCGTTTGCATTTGACAAGGACAATAAGCGCAAAATATTAAGTAGAATATTGCTTAACCCCTGAAATATGAATTTGTACCATTTTACATTTCACAAAATATAAAAGAAAATTATAAATCAACATATGCACATCCGCACATTTATAAACGTTTAATGTTGAAAAACAATAGAGAGTTGAAGTGTTTCCAGTACGTTAACGTGAACGTTAACGCAGAAAAATAATGTTTACGTTGCAGTACAAAATATGAGTTGAATTTGTTAAACGCATCGTGACATTTACGAGCCATAAAAGATAATGACAACTAATATTGGGATTTCTTCTTTTCCAATTGAAGAGGTTATTTTGCTTGCATCACGTGCATACGCCAGAGCCCGTATGTTTACGTATGTACGTAGACGTGAACGTGGAAGATATTTAAATACGCATGCGTATATGTCAATATTCACGTATACGTTTACGTACATAGCATGACTTCAACTCTCTAATAACGCTACCCAAATTGGAAGGTTACTTGCTTAACTTATTAATAAACAAAAAAAAAGACTTTAGATACAGTGGTATATACTTTAAATCACCCAGAATGGAAGAGATTATTTATTTGCCCTATACAGGCCATACGAGATTGCTTAACTTATTCGTTAAGTCTTACTTTTTATATTACTAAAGAAACCGAAAGAATGAAATGTTGACCGTAGCCCTTAGGTCACGAAGTATTTATGGACAACACTCAGATCAAGACACTAAAATTAACTAAATTTTGTCATAATTTATTGCACTTGGCAAATACTTAATGCTTAATTAATTAAATTTTGAAATAATTTCCAGTAACACATAAGTTATTAAAGAAAAAACCACTAAAACATTTTGTGTGGAAAATTATAAGTAAAGATGACAATGCCTTTGGAATATTCGTTCAAATAAAAGTAGAATGTTAATTCAACAAATTAGCAGGCATAGTGCACATGAAATCTTCAGTATAATATAAAAGAACATGAGAGTAGGGTGTCACCAATTACACCATCACCATAAACATCTTCGCATCTAGATAAAGTAACATCTATGAAAACCAGTGAAATAGTAGGCTAGGTGGCTAATAAATCAATAGACCACGAATATATAGATCAGTGTTCTGGTAAACTGGTGTACTGTGTACCCACGGTTAAACTCAAGGGTGAACCCTTTCTCTTAAAGGGTTCAACTGGTGAGAGTCGGAATCAGATTGACTTCAAATCTACCAATTCGACTTTCGTATGTACTTGATGGTCCAATTGGTAAAGACGCCGATGGCTCTAGTCGGAAGATTACAGTTTCGATCCCTGGCTGATCCACACATTTTTATTTTCTTTATTTCTCAGCTTTATCAATTATTTTTTTGGGATATGGGGGTTTCTTTTTCTTAATTTCGTAGGGAGAATTGGAGATTATACATTTTCAAAATTACAAAATTGTATTTTTTGTAACTTTTTCTTTTTACCGGTATTTTATAGGTTTTTAGATAAACTAAATAGAAGAAAAAAGTATACATTCACCAAACGTTTTTTTTTGCTTAGGAAAAACTGACAAAAAATACTTGGGAGGGTTTCAGTAATAACCAATTCAATTATTTGTTACCTAAATTCAAATTCTTTATTGGTCCATAAATACAATTTGGAGCCTAATGGCCATTGGACAGGTCCGGTGAGATTACAGAGCATACAAATAAAAATTAAAAATACTCAAATATGCACGGATATAAAATAAAATAAACATAAAAATAATTAGACATATAATAATGGTTTTAGCCTTTAAAATGATCATAAAACTCCTATAAGGAGTTATGCCCAACAGCATTTGAGTCACTTTCCTCTTAAAAAAATTTAGGAGTAAGTTTATCTACACGAAGATATTGGTGGTTTATTGGCAAGAGCCCTTAATATACGTTTTTGAACTAGCATCCTCAAATTGTTATTCCATACAGTATTTTTGATTGCACTTGTCCAAAATAGAACGTTAGTAGCCCTTCTTCTCTAAGAACCTCTCTTAGTACTCTAATTTGGTAACATAGAATTAAGTGATTTTATAATTTTACTACTTTGCGAGTTAAATGCCATATTACTGTCCATACTAATGCCCAAAAAGTAACAGAATCTATTTGCTCAATATATTCATTATTAATGAATACATCATATGAAGATAAGTTTGACTTCCGTTGAGTGTGAAAGGCTATATAATTTGTTTTATTGGGGTTTTATATATAAAGAGTCATAGCTAAGCCAGTTTATTAGTGTATTACATACTGAATTTAAATTAGATTGAATATTTGACTCGGATTTATCAGTAATAAACAATGTTGCATCATCTGCATATAAACAAGTAAGACATTAACATATATGCAGTTTTTGTAAAACTGCAAATTTGATTTTTAAAGGCAAGTATATTTAAAAATATTTCTCATAAATTTTGTATGGAACTGACAACAGCGCAATCGTATAGGTACGTTCAACAGTTTAGAATAATAGTCAGATCAAGGTCAAATTCACCCATTTTTAAATTTTAGAATTCAATGCTAAAACTGGTACCATTAGTTTTTGGACATTATACACTACACACTCTTGTCACATTTTATATGTACATTATATTTTAATTACATCCTGTAAACAAACCAAGTATTAAAAGTATCCTCTTAATATTTTCACTCTTTCTCCAAACTATAAATTTTCAATTTTACAAACTTACCCTTCATTTTCTTCTTTCTTAACGTCATCGCCATTCATCGGGGGAGCTTTCATTTTAATAATCCTAGTCATAGGTTTGTATTTGTATTTTTTGAGAAACGGAATTTTTTGTAGTTCAGGCGGTACTTTGAACTCCTTCCGTTTGGGTTCTTTAACCAATTTTTCGCACTTGGTCCACTCCGTCAAGTTACCGGTACAAATGTAGCCGCCACTAGCGAAGGCTAGCTGACCACCTTTGCAATTCGAGCAAGGAGTTAGGGCTCCAAAGGTCATTATGTCAGCTAGATGTTCCAGAGTCTATAGAAAAATATTTGGTATTCATTTAAAATAATATTCTCCTCAAAAAATTATCAAGGGTAATATAACGAGACCTTGATAAATAGTCGACTATTTTTATTGTTTCTAAATTTTAAGTGTTTTTGATATCAATTTGTCGATACTTGATTATTAATGACAAAATTATGTTTCGACAAATTGCAAAATACACGAAAAATTTAGTAACAATAGAAATATGCGCTAATTTATTAAGGTCGAGTTATATTTTATGCCCTAAATGTAACTTAAATTAGTAAATACACAATAAAATAACTTTTATTTTCAGTTCATTTTAAAAGGTTACACGAAATAATAGCCGAGAATACCGATTAAGGAGAAGCGACAGTAGCTGTCGGTGCCTTTGATATCGGATGGACCTTTTTCACAACATGACTTTGATTAATACACAACTTAATACGCTGAGAAAACATGCTTATTTTCTACACTGAGCGAAATAGTTTGGCAAATTATCTGAAATCATTGTTATAGTCCATGCCCAAATATTGTAATGTGATTTAATTACACTGAAGTAGTTAGGGTTAATAGCAATGGTGAAATTTTGGCACCAAAATATAATTCATTATGTAATAATTATTTCTGAATTTATATTATAATGAAAGGACTTTCAAGTTTATTACTCATTTCTGTAGAAACAAGTGTTTTCTCGCAAAGATAAGCCAGATGTCATTTAAGGTTTATGTATTTAGAGTTAAATACCTGGCTTTGCTATCACCCAGACAATACAAATATGCCCATTGGACGTCCATTCGATATACAATTTTGGATGTCTAGACTCTAGACGTCCAAAAATTAGTTTTTTCTGCACTTCCGCCATCCAATGGACGTCCAGTAAAGTATAAAAATGGCACACTTTTGACCATTCAGAGGACGTCCAATTCTGGAATATATTTGGACGTCGAATACTGGTCATTCAAAAAACGTCCAGGATTATATTTCCATTGAGACCACATCCCCACTTTTTTTACAGAACCGCAACTCACCACACACTATTTTATATTATTAATAATTTGTTTATTATTTTCGCAAACCACTATACACCATTTATTTTTTTTTTAATTAAAGATCACTTAACCTGAGCAGGAATCGAACTCACGACACATCCATTATCGTTTTACGTTTTTAATCGCTAGACGGTTCGACCAAGGAACCACTTTAAAACTTTTTACTAGATGTAGTTATAATGGAATAAGATTTCAAACTTTCGCTGATAGAATGAAATGCAATAGATTCAATTTGTCAATTTTTAATGACCAATTATATTAAAAAAAAAGGAAGTGTATATAGATGGGAATTATCTGGTAGGCTTAATAAATAATGACCTAAGATGGACGTCCACTGGACGTCAAAATACTACTAAACTTAAAATTAAGTCCAAAAACAGACGTTCTCTGGGTATCGATATTCAGCTGTCAAATTAATTAGCATAAACGGACGTACACTGGATGCCCGGATATGGACGTCCTGACCCTCAAATGGATCTAAAATGTACGTCCATTGGACTATGTATGCTGTCTGGGCATAGACGAATATATACAAATAGTACTTATTTAAGTATGTACCAATATTTCCAAAATCAACTCCAGTATATGATTCATTCAATAAATATAAATATGAATGGGCAAAACATCATTATATTGACATAATTGTAACTTAAAATTTAGTCATAATAAAGGGATTTCGCCCACTTTGCCCAATCCTAATTGAAACACGCGGATTTATTATATTTTTTTAAATATAATTTCAAAATAAAATAAACAAAATCTGCAGTTCATTGCTTATTAAATTTATTTAAAAGAAGACAAACATATATTTCAGAAAATCAAATACCTACATATGAAAAATAAAATGTCAAAAATGATTAAATCATTATACTTAATATTTATACATGTGATAAAATTCATAGTTTCCTAATAACTTTTTTGGCACATTTTATATCTGTATTAGAATACCTAAGTGTAAAAAATCTTCATCTTATTACTACACAAAACAAACACCAAAAAAATATCACTTAACATCAGCGGCGGCGCGTGGTTCAATACTCTGGGGGTGCACAACGTAAGATACAAAAAAAATTGGGTGCCACACAACCACGTCCAAAAATATTCTTTAAGCGCTATCAAACCGTCAATCTGGGTTAGCAAATTAAAGGATCTTATTAAAAAATTAAAAATTAATAACTTACCCTGCTGTCTCTGATGAATACTTCTGCCTTGCCAAAACAATTGTCTTTATAGATATAGGAATAATAGTTTTTATACTTCACAAACACGTTTTGAATTGAAAATCAATACGTCTGTCCTTTTTCGAGATAAATGCATCAATAACTAATTCATTAAAATTTGGGATCTCTTGAATCATTTGTTTCTCAATAGATAACATTGCGAGGGCAGTTAACCTATTTTCACCCATTGTACTTCTAAGAAAAGTTTTTATTCGTTTTAATGTGGAGAAACAACGTTCCGCTTCTGCGGTTGTCATGGGCATCGTAACAATTGCTTGTAGCACTAAAAACGTCTCTGAAAAATCTACTTGCAAATTATTTTCAATTAAAAATTTAAGTAGGTGGACTGCTCCTGAAACTTCTCTAAAATCTGATCTTCTGTATATTATTTCCAGTTCTGTCTTCAATTTATCCTTGTTCAAAAAAGGAAAATTCATAATCGCTGAATTTAGGTTTAGTATGGGAAAATTCGTTGAAAATGTATCAAAATTATCAACTGAAAATAAGTGCGCTATTTCCAGATGGCCAGTGAATGAAAATCTTCTTTTGATTTCTGCAATTATAGTGTCACATACCTCCTTGGCTTGCACCACCGTAGAAAAATAAGAATGTCTATCTTCTGTCTTTCTTCTTTTCCTACCTTGATTGTCATCAATGTTTGCTAACTCAGTTTCTTTAATAGTATGTATATTATCTCGTTCTTTCTGAATATTTTGCTCAAACTCAGTAATGCATCTTTTTACGGTTACTGAATCAGTAGCTCTTTTTTGCAGCTGTGAATATAAAATGTTGACGTGGGGCATTATACGATGAAAAACTGACAACCAAAAAATAAACTTAGGATCATGCAATAATCTTAAAAGTGCGCCTGCCTTCGTGATGGTATCAGATTGTCTGGATGTAGATTGTATTTTTTCCATACACGCTATAAGGGACTCCCGGTTTTCATATACTGTATTAACGGTTCTAATTTTGAAGTTCCACCTGGTAGCAGATGCTCTTGGAACTCTATTTCCAACCACTTCATCCAATATGGCAACTCTTTGTGGAGAGTTGGAAAAAAAATTGGTAATGTCACTCAGTTCGGCAAAAAAAATACGTGCATTCGTATTTATGCTTGTTGCCTGAGACATTATCAAGTTTAATTGGTGAGCATAGCAATGAATATAATGGGCGTATTTAAATTTATCTTTAATAAGTTTTTGTACACCACCATGAGCGCCACTCATGACGCTTGCTCCGTCATAACTTTGGGAAATCAACTGATCAGGATTTCTTAAAACATAATTTAACGCTTCTTCTATGCAGCGAGCTAAAGCAACAGCATCATGTTCATTCGGTTTTACAAAAGTCCAAAATCGTTCAACGGGGCTGCCGTTCGGTAAAGTATAACGGTAAACTATAACCATTTGGAAAATATTGGAAATATCACTTGTTTCGTCACTCATAATGGACACAAATTTCGAGGCGGCAATTTCTTTTTTGATATGTGCCTGACATACGAAAAGAATACATTCCAATAAATCGTTTTGAATGTCTTTTGATGTACCTTTAAACACAGTAGCTTGCTGCAAATGATCCCTCAGTGCTAAATCCAGTTCGGCAGAAAAATTTATAAGTCCTCTAAATATACCAGGGTTCACAGAATCTTCTTGTTCATCATGTCCACGGAGAGCAAGCTCAAAAGCACCACCAAATTTTATACAGTTTATAATTTTAGATAAAACATACCTATTTTTCTTTACTTGGTAATTATGTTTTTGAATGCTTGATCGATATGCACTATTTAATTGTTGTCGAATATCTTGTTTACCTAATAAATTATATCCTAATTTAGCAGATAAATGTGACTTTGAATTTTGATGTTTTTTAATTTTTTCGGATAAATGTATTAAATCTCTAACGCCAGATTTTGTCCATTCTGATGCCTCGTCGCTTCCAAATAATAAACAAGGAAAGCAGTAAAGACTGTTACTCACATCACACCCGCACAACCAGTCAGTTTTTTCATAAGTATCTGTTTTAAAAGTACGTTTATATTCACGACTTTTGCATTTAGTTACATTCGTAATTAATACACTTGGTTTCGGACGCCCAACACTTTTAATTTTTATTTTTTCTTCTAAAGGAAGGGAAGAAAAATTAATTGTCTTTAAATATTGCACGCTAATGTCCGTCATTTTAACAAAATTCCCGTTTCGACAGCGCGACACCGATTATTACGCTCCCCACGCAAGCTACAAGTGCACAAATTTTATGTGCACGCGTGCCAGTAGAAACATCGAACGTCACACAGACTGCCGCGGTGAGGGAGGGAGAAGATTGACCAATCGGATCGAATATTCCGATGTGCAGTGTACGAAGATATCGCGGCGGGCGTCGTGCAAAGCGAACGGCTGTATTTTTTTTTCTCGGCTGGATTTCTCACGTTACGCATAGCGTCTTGCGATTTGGAGTTTTGTTTACGAAATAATTGATCGTTTTTTAAATAAAAATAATTATTAAAATAATGACAGGACAGAATCACAGGATTTAACTAGTTTTTTTTTTCAAGAGGCATTAAATTTGGGGGTGCACGTGCACATGTGCACTTATTGAGTAACCGCCGCTGCTTAACATTGCTCACGTACTAAACACAACTTGGACTGACTTTGACAGATAACATCATTTTGAGTGATACACAACTTATTTTCGCACATGCGCGTTACAAAACGGTACACTAAAAACACCAAGCTGTCGCTTCTCCTTGATCGGTATTCTCGGATAACAGCTTGTACTCTGACGATAAATTTATTTGACAGTAGCTGTTATTAAATATTATACTTATAATCAAGTATGCGAATTGCTGTCAACATAGGTGAATATCAAGCATGGATAGTCAATTGCTTCTAACGATAACGTAATTTGCGATATGATTGGTTAAAATGTCAAAGTTGACAGACGAGGGTAATATACCAAGACCTTGATAGTAGTCAGCTATTTTTGTTGAATCTAAATCTCGAGAACGTTTTAATATTAATTTAATGACATAATTTTTGGCCCTAATAATCTGATTTAGGGTCGGTCTTTTCACCTTCAGATAAAGTTCCAGTTAACTAACCAGTGGATATATTATCTGAGAGTTACTGTCTGACAGATAATCAGGTTTCCGTCTTTTCAAGAGAAATAATCTGTAGGGTACTTATCTGGTACTTTTTAACGTTCTGTGGTCATGTAACTACATTCATATCATTGAGGTAGTATTATTGGGAGACGCGATCACGTGGTCAAAAGCGGCATTGGTCCGCCATATTGATGCAACACTTGCGTCAAACAGTTGTCGCATTGTGATTTAATTGATAGGATCAATTTCACTTTTTTTTTTTATTTACCGTTTGTATGATATTTAAATATTATAGTGAAAGAGAATAATTGTTTCATGTGCTCTTCGCAACTGCAATAGCAGGAATGCAGTTGATAAAAAGAAATCGACAGAAATAACATTTCATAGGTAAGTATACAAAATGATAACAATAACCAGGGTAGTATATAAAAAAATTATTTTTATATTTTACTTATTTAAATAGTTATTGGTTAAAATATTTTACGGTACTTGTTTCATATACTTACGGTTTTCTATTATTTTATTATTGTTTAGAAATTCCATTTTATGCTGTGCAAGAGTTTAATTTTTCCCACGTAACACAAAATGGTAGAAAACCGTATATGAAACTGTTACATATTTTTACCAAAAAATGAAGCCCAAATAACAATGTTTTCCTTTCAGATCTTTACGTCAGAATGTCTCGTTGCAATTTGTAAATAGAGGCCCTCGAAAACCTATAAAACACAGTGTTCTGTGTTCCAAGCATTTTTTTGAGCTATACATTGACCGAACATCAAGTTATGTTCATTTAAAAGATATTGCTGTTCCTTCTCTTAATCCTGATGTAAATTGTAGTAGTTTATATTACAAGTAGATTAACAAAACACTGTTTGGCCATGATTTATATACAATTTTTTATCTCTACTTAAATATTGATTTTTTTTTAAGAAAAACAAAGATTTGTTTTTTCAGAAGCAATATTTTTGCAACTTTTTAAAATATTTGTTTATAATAGAGGTATTTAAATATCAACACAAAATAAAAACTTGCTTTTAAAATAAACATACATGAGTATTAAATCAAAAACACAACTAAAAACTAAAAATTAGACAGCATCTATAAACTTCACACTTCAAAGGAGGTATGTAACCTACACTACTATCTAATATTCAAAATCACTATAATCAGAACCAACGTCAAATTCTTCTGGTTCTTCTGACGTGTCAGTGTCGTGTATAGATACAGTTTCAGAAGTATCTGAGAAAGAATTGTAGGAATTATAAATCAGATGATCTACATTCATGTCGACTGTAGCTATGGGATCTTTGTTAGGAACTGTTGATAAGCCACTTGTACTTGGAATCAGTATTGCTGAGTTCAATGGAAGTTGTACTTACAGTATCAACGATGCTAGTAATAGTAATAATATCTAAGCATATGTCTTCCTTTGCAGTTTCGGATTTTAGTTTCAGGTTACGGGCAATATAAACTATTTTGGTTGCACTTCGGTTTAATAATTTATTTCGTTTAGACGTGTGCAATCCGCCATAAGTGCTTATTTCGCACGCCGCTGATATTGCTGGTAGCTGAAGAAAATTTGCAGATACTTTTTTGAGAGCTGTGCAGAAGACACTGTAGTTTGATTTGTCGTGTTTTAAAATTATTTTGCGTGAAAGAAGACATTGTTTTGCTGGAAATATAACGACAAAAGCCCGTATTTTTGGAAAATTAACAACTAAAACCGTGCAGCTAAGCTGTCGAAAGATGATTTCTAATAAAAAGTCTTCCATTTTTCTTGTGTCGGAAAGTATTTTGGTCCAACCTTGGAGTTCGTATGTTGTTATTAAGACACTTGTCGTTGTCACAATTTTTTTTTTTTTTATAAAAAACAAAAACAAACGCTTTTTATTTATGATTTTATATAATTTGAAAAAAGAAAAACATTTAGTTTTATGTTAAAAAAAAAAAAACATGAAAAAAAAAATTGTTCTACATAACTATATTTAAAGTTCGCGAAAAAAACAATGAATTGCTTATTAATATGACCCTAATTAATAGAAAAAAAATATATTATTCAAAATATATTAAAATTCTTATAATTTTTAGAGAATCAGGACCTGGCAAGGCATCCATATTGTTACTACTTTAAGCCACGCCTAGTGCGACGTTTTATTTACTTGCGAACTAAAGTATAATTTATAACCACCGTAGCGTAACTTAACTTAACGCCTTAGAAATTTAACCTAAGATATAAAAATAAAGTCTATTTATAAATGTCCGTAACGTAAGAGTTGATCATGCGTGTTGTATTTCAGAGATTATCAAATTACTGACAACCTTATGAAATAAACAAGTGTAAACAATGTACCTAACCTCTAAATAAAACTTATAAATTATGATTTTGCTATATAGAAAGAATATATTAACTACTTTAAAAGCAATAATATAAAAATATAATACAACAGAATAGTTAACCGAAGATGTTGATTGTTTTTGAGCAATAATGAGAATTTAATCTTTCCTAGCAAACTAGTTTTGTGTCTTATTTCAGTTCTAGGCTTGATGTTTATAGGTATATGCAGCAACACTCATATTTCATAAATAGTTTATCCCCAATAACATAAACACAAATCATTCATGATAATGTATGTCCATCAAAAAGGAGAATGATAGTTTACAAATGGTATTTGTCTATTCATTTATAAAAAAAAAATAAATAAAAAGAATAATTGACAGTTATCACATGCTGAACTCAGAATTATCTCATTGGCTAACCGTAAGGTCTTAAGTTAAGTTAAGTTGTTAAGTTAAAAGTTGGTGAACTTTTTACGGTACGTTAAGTTCTTAAGTTACGTTACGAACATTATAAATAAGTATACGTAAATGCAATATTTCAACTTCTTACGTTAAGTTCTTAAGTTACGTTACGGCGGTTATAAATTAAGCTTAATGCTTATAGCGCCTCTTTATAATACTACCCTCAATGTATTTATGCATGCGATGTCACTCTCACTGTCACTTTTTGTCGTTATTTCGTTCTGTCACTTATTTGAAAAAAGTTTTTGTATTTTTCTGAAAATATTTGTTATTTAAAGCAAGTGACAAAAAAAGAGATCGACCAACTTTCAATAAGCAAGAGAATGCTTGAAACATAAAGCAGTACTGCAAAATAAAAAACTGATTCTGGGGTCCGTTGTGTTGTAATTAACATAAGATTATTTATTTGATTAAAGGCAAATCTTTTCACCTCTGAGTAAAGTTAAAAGTAACTACTTGCTGATCAAAGTATAGGCTATTGTTCGCCAATCTGTCAAGTAAACCTACATGTAACTTTACTCAGAGTGAAAAGATAAGATCTAATTAAATTTTTCAAAGATGTAGTTTTTTTTATTGTGTATGTGTGTGTGTATTATTGGTGCGAATGTGAATTAGTTTACACTATTTGCTACTTACTATTTTATGTAATGTAAAGGCTGTTTTTTTTTATGTTGCTTATTTTTCCAAGTGTTTTTTTCGAGAGTTATATACAATTATACAAAACAAACATGTAAACTACTATTTACAAAAAATCTTCAACAACGTCCATGAAAGCAAATAAAATAATATGTTAACTCGTATCACATATTATTATGTCATATACCTACTTATCTGTCAGCTTACTTTATCAGGAAGTTCGTAGGTAAGATAAGTTATCTTTCAGATTAGACCAATTTATCTGCTGGTTACCTTTATCAAAAGTGAAAAGAAGACTTTTTAGGTTATCTGGGAGATAACAATTACTATCTAAAGGTGAAAAGACCAACTGCTTAATAACAAATACCTATCTTCACATATTTCGACCAGATCTGGCAACGCCCAGGGCCGACTAGAGGGGGGGTAGAATAGTTTTTTGTTTCACGGGGCCCGATCTAGAGAATTGTTCCTGGGGCCTGGCTCTCAGCGGCCCTGGCAACGCCGACAACTATTGGTAGCTTGATGTGCGCGATCAACAGAACTGAAACATTCTCTCATCCACACCGAAGAGATTCACAACAGTTTTTCATGTTCACAGTTTATCAACAGAATATTAAAAAAAACAAAAACTTTCAATGTGTTAATGTAGTGTTTATTTAATAATAAAAATACACCATCAACAATCTATTTCACCAACCTTTAGTGGGACATGGATATTATTGAAAACTATATTTTATCGATTTATTTGCAATAGTATTAAAATAGAATACACATAGAAATATTAATGAAAATTGAATATAATTATTTCAAAAAAACACTTATGGGTCTTGATATGCCATAACAGGATTATGTACCTAAATATAAATTTAGGTATGTAAATATTATTACATAAGTATATAAAGATTTAATTTCTGTAATTGGTGATGTAGCATTTCCTACACCAATAATTCTACAGTAATGTTCAATTGGAATTAAATCCGGATGGTACTTGGGTATCATTTACGCAAAATAATAAAGTATGTAAGTTAAGTTACCTTATCTTTTCCAATTGGTATTTCTTGATTGTTATATGTCAACAACGCATGCCATTCTTTGATAGAGAGGCTACTAAGTTTATCCCTATACTGAAACATAAGTTTATTTTGGAATCTGTATTCCTTGTCATCTCCATCCCCGTCTATTTCATCTTCTGTTTTCAGCTTTTTCACTTCGGGAATGTTTTCTTGTTTAATTGCTCTAAAAATTATTAAATAAATTTGGCCTAGTCGCTTATTTAAAAAATTTAATAATTTGTCATGTGTTCTTTCTGAAGTATAGTTCTGTTATAAAAATGTCTTCCTTTATTTCAATCCTTGGACAAAGTTGTTAACCCTGTTGCAATTTTTAATTGCAAGAGTGGTGAAGTGATTAACTAATTTAAAAGAGCTTTTAATTACCTACTGAAGGGAATAAATATATAAGAGTTAATTAATTAGTTAATTGGTTAATTAAATTTGAAATTTAGAATGCACTAAATAAGAGTCACTGACATATTATTGTTCTTGTCACTTTAAATCGACGACAAAAAGTGCCTAATACATAAAAATTTAGATGAGAAAAAACAGAATTTGTTTGGTTTTAAAGAAAATAAGAAAAACTCATTATCTAATACGAGGGCTATCCGGCGGAAATTGAGCCTCGTCAAGAAGGATGTGTGTCAAATTTAAATTTGAGTGATGTGACAGTTATTGCATAAACATGTAACAAGCAACTTGTCTATCAAACCTTTGATTTTGGAAATTTGAATATCGAGATGTATGTGGTAAAAAACAGTAAATGTGTCAAATTATTCACAATGTTTACCATCATATGCAACGGTCAAAAGTCAAGAGTCAGCAGTCAATGAAAGATCATCATGATTCTGGATGATGATGATTTTAGAACTGTTGCCTACATTCATTCGATGAACAAAATTATCAACACAGGTGTACCATAAGGATCTATGTTGGGCCCTCTTTTATTTATATTGTATTCCAATGATCTGAATATATTATTAATGTGTATTCAAGTGACCAAGTATGCAAATAACTCATCAATAATAATAATATAATATTTAAAAATCTAAAAGTTGACAAGTATTTGTATTGCTCCCGGTTTTATACGTTTTTCGTTGATTAAAAATGAGTTTAATGTGGTAAATTTAATATCAAAATTTTAGAGTCAAGAAAATTGTGTATATTTGTGAACTTAAATAGCCCAATCGGATTAGGTGAAGAACAGGCTTGAGATTCTGAAAAATTCGAAGCAGCAATTTTCCTTCGGAATTCGTTGGAGGGGGTCTGTGGTAGTCTAAATTCAAAAAGTTGGGTTTCCAAAGTTGTCGTTACCTCCGCCAGCTTGATTTAAAAGGTTATTTTTTGTATCTTGAATAACTCATTTATTTTCAATTTTACGAGAAAAATTGTTATAAACAACGTTGTTTAAAATTAAATTTCCTACAATTCTATTTTTTTTGTACGCTTGATTTTTTTGTATTTATCCCTGAGAAGAGTGGGGGTAAACTCTTATCATTGTATTATCACGTTTCTTTTTAATTCCAGGTATACAGTAAACCACAAAAGAACGAGGCAGCTGCTCCGTAGAGCGCGTGAGAGAAAATAAATTTCATTTTTTTAATTGTAAAAATTATACTGTTCGATAAACTGATTATTTACACCCCTCTTTTCCTTTACCGTGAACGTGCGACCCAACAATATAAACTTTAGAAAAAATCGGAATCATAATTGTACCAAATAACATTTTTGAAAAACAGCAAAAAAAAAACAAACAGAAAAAATAATGGTACAACAATAATAAACGTGACAATACAATACTTAGGTTCACCCCCACTCTTCTCAGGGATAAATACAAAAAAATCGATCGTACAAAAAAAAAACAGAATTGTAGGAAATTTAATTTTAAACAACTTTGTTTATAGCAATTTTTCTCGTAAAATTGAAAATAAACGAGTTATTCTATAACCCCCTCTTTTCGGGTATAAATCGAAAAAAATCGATCGTACAAAAAAAAAAGCAAAATTGTAGGAAATTTAATTTTAAATAACTTTTGTAAAAACTATTTTCCGTGTAAAATTGAAAATAAATGAGTTATTCAAGATACAAAAAATAACCCTTTAAATCAAGATGGCGGAGGTAACGGCAACTTTGGAATCCCAACTTTTTGAATTTAGACTACCAGAGACCCCCTAAAACGAATTCCGAAGGAAAATTGCTGCTTCGAATTTTTCAGAATCTAAAATACTAATCCGATTGGGCTAAAAGTGCAGTTGGGAGGAATAGAATTGATTTTATGTGATTATAAAAGTTTTTTTTTTAATAAAGTCATTAAAGATAATTTATGAAACAAAAAACCTGCCGTGATAAGAATTTTTAACATTGCTTCCAGTGGCGTACCAGTTTTATTTGCTACAACTTACATTAAAATTAAAAGTATTTGTTAAAAAGTCGATAAGTTTTTGAGATCATTTTTCATTTTAACTATTCTTTGTTCGTCTTTGACATTCTACATTGGTGCGTCTGAAACATGGAGAAAAACTTTAGATGCTGTCGTCTAAAGGAGTTTACAAATTATTGCTGTTTAGGTAGTTAGGATTAAAGGGTACAAAATATACTGCTCTAAAAAATGCCAAACAACATATGATGATGACGAAGACAAAATTAATAACCTGGAAGGAGTTATCCAGAAATTGAAGGTTGACTTAACTGATAAAGACAATTATATAAAGAGACTGAAACGTCAAACAGCTGATTTTTCAGATGCCGCTTCAGATGTGGAACAATATCTAAACTCGCGACTTATTGAGCAAAGAGATCGTAATGCCAAGTTAAATAATGACCTAATCGTATTAAGAAAAAACTGTGATACTTTGCAAAAGCAGTTAGTAAATTCTTCTGAATCATACAAAAAGCATTCGATTATCTCATGAGTATGTTCTTATATTGGGAATGTAAAAACATCATCATTAATGAACAGCACGGTTTCTGTCCTGGTGGGTCAACAGTGACTAATCTCTTGCTTTACAACACTTACATTATTAATGCTTTAGAAAACAAGTCACAAGTTGACTCGATCTATACAGACTTCTCAAAAGCCTTTGATCGAGTAAACCACAAACTTCTTATTAACAAACTAAAAAATATTGGAATATCGGATGTCATGCTGACATGGATTCAAAGTTATTTAATAAATCGTTTTCAACGCGTGAAAATTGCGGGTGTTGTATCTCATGAGATAACAGTTCCTTCAGGTGTACCTCAAGGTTCTCATTGTGGACCTATTCTATTTAACGATATTTGTGATACATTAAAATTTAGCCAATACCTACTTTTTGCAGATGATTTTAAGTTATTCAAATCTATTAATTCACATTCTGATATAATTGAATTGCAAACAGACATTGACTCCCTGAATATATGGTGCAATCTAAACCAAATGGATCTAAATATTAAGAATTGCTTCTGTATATCTTTTAGCAAAATTTTGTCACCCATCATACATGACTATTAAATTAACAATCATAGTGTATCAAGAGTTGATACCATTAAAGATTTAGGTGTCATGATGAATAGTAAATTGTCTTTTCAGGCACATATAGATATGATAACAGCAAAGGCATCAAAACTATTAGGTTTCATTTCTAGGTCTTCCACGGATTTTTCTGCATATACGTTCAAAACGATGTATTGTTCTCTAATAAGATCACAATTAGAACACTGTTCGATTATTTGGAACCCATATTACAATACTCATAAGCATCTAATTGAAACTATTCAGAATAAATTCTTGAGAATATGCGCCTATAAAATGGGTTATATAAGAGGAGATAACTCATATGCTTCAATTAATTCTCAATTAAACTTAAAATCACTTGACTTTAGGAGAACAGTTTCTGATATAATTTTTATAAATAAATTGTTAACAGGGAATATTGATTCTCCCCAAGCAGTAGGTCTTATTAATTTTAATACCTTTAGTAGGACTAGACAATTCGACTTATTTAATATACCATTACATACCACTAATTATGCTTTTAATTCACCAGTAAGTCGAATGTTACGTGAATGTAATAAGTTGAAATGTAAAAATTGTGATATTTTTGGAACTATTAATGCTCTCAGGACTTATTTAAATAATATGGAAGTCTAACATTTTATGTCTACATTTTCTAACTGATTTTATAATTGTTATTTGATGCCGTTATATTTTATATTTTGTATTGTATTTTATATTACCTATATTAGTATTAGTTTAGTATTTAGTTCAGTATTTATTTTGCTGTTTTTATTCTACCCGTGAATAAATAAATAAATAAATACTTTGGAGAATGAAAACACAATCTACACTAAAGAATTAAAGGATTTTCGTAATAAACTTTAGGACAGTAATACAACAACTACTACCTCCCTAATAGAAACTGATTCATCAAACACAGTAAATCAAAATTAATTAAGTTAATAGACGATTTACATGTTCAGATACAAAATATCCAAACCACAACTATTGCCACCTCATGTATCTGATGAATTAATGCTTACTGAACTGGAAGAACGACGGAGAAAATCCAACAATCTGATGGTGTTTAACTTACCTGAAAGTAATGATGACAAGTCCAAGGTAATCGGAACAGGCACATGGAAAAGCCTTCATAGGCAGACCATGTCCCAAAAGAACTGGAGAACTACTCTTAATGAATAGGAACCAGTTGGAAGTGATAACAGGGTTCATGACTGGGCACGCCCCAGTAAAGAGACACTTGAACAAAATTGGCATGTACAATGGGGAACTCATGTGCCGACTATGTCACAAGAAACCAGAAACGGCCAAACACATACTGTGCGAATGCGAAGTTCTAGATCGCAAAAGACAGGCTCTTTTTGGACGACCCCAGGTTGATCCAACAACGTATAGAACCCACTCACTCAAGGATCTGTACAAACTTGTACAAGGTACAAAGGTGATACACTCACTCAAGGATCTGTACAAACTTGTACAATGTACAAAGGTGATAGAGTGGGTGCTATGAACTAACATGGGGTAAAACACAATAAGCCAATAGGCTTCAGTGTTATTCGGAGACACATAGTCAGACGAGCCCAGGAGAGAAAAAAAAAAGGTAATCGGAATTTTGCAGGATTTAATTAACTCACCTCCATCACAGTGGCGGCTCCTGGTTGTGTAGAAGGATGAGGCTACATGAG